AAAAATCAAGTGGAAAGAGATGACAGGAGCGTCCAGAGTTCATGGAGCACATAAGTGGTGGAGGAGTCAGTGACTCTTGCACTAAATGATATTGTTAACCTTCAAGCAGCTCTTCCAATAAGCAACATGTCTTCTGCTAACTTGAGTGATTTCAGCGTGTGATTCCGGGTGTGATTGAACCTTAGAGAGGGATACTGCAAACAAACCAACAGTCCAAAATCCCTGTCCTATTGGACTTTTTCACTCCTTCCTTCTTAGGAAGCTCCCCTCATGACAAACTAACCACTAGCTATATTTATCTTTCACCCCCCTCCTTTATTCCTACTGCATCTCATGAACTGCACTTGACAAGCCCAAAGATCTGCTGTCTCCTTCAAGCAAGCTCCTGTTGTCGTAATCATTTATGACAACAGTTTATGTCTCCTGCAACCTTGTACGGCCCATTGATTAAAAGCATCCCCTAAATGCTTAAATGAAAATCTAGGAGCCTACCGGCTCTTTATGGTCACACTGCAGATGAATGGGATTTGACCATAGAATGCGTGTGTTTTTTTAAATAAATATCATATAGAAAAATTGCAAACAAAAGTGAATGGGGAAAAAAAAGAAAACACAGACTGGATTGTTCTGTAGCTGTTTGGTTTTAAAAACTGTCTTGTTTTTACTATAACAAGTGGACACTCAGAGCGGAGGAGAGAGATCCTTTCCTCAAGAAAACATAGGAGTCTGCAAAACTGTGGAATTTGATTCTTAAATTGCTCACAAGTGGCAGAGGTAAGCCGGGGAGGAAAAACAATTTCCACAGAACAGATACCGAAAACCGTTTACTGTAACTACTCCCTGAAAAGTTGATGACTTCTCAAAAGTGAAGATTAGGGTGGAAATCACAGCATGTGCACTTTTCTCTCCCCGCCTGCTCTCCTGCTGAGTCTCTGAAGTGGGAGCTCAGCCGGGCAATCTTTGATCAGCGCCTGTTGCCAAACTTGGGGTGGACAAGGTCAGGGGAACAAGATGGTGGCCAGCTTCTTGTCAAAGGCTTGAAGTCCACACCTGTTTGAGAATGCACTCTGCTTGCTCTCCCATCTGACTGGACACTGAGCACCAAAGGGCTTCACACCTTTGGCAGTCGACAGCCTGTTGTTCAGTGAAGTGATTGTTACAAGCGTCCCCAGGTAACCCTGTCTAATTTGCTACCTTACACAATAACTAACCTTGGTTTGTATGCAAATCTGTTCTTGCAAAGCCCCACAGAGAAATCAGGATCCCTTATAAGCCTTCCCGAGCATTGGCCTTTGTCAGTGTAACTGACAAACAGCAGTATAGCGTAGGTTCTTTCTTTCTTCTTTTTTTTTTATTTTGTTCTGATAAGAATGAAATGAACAGGCGCCTTTCTCAGGCAGTCTTATGCTCAATCCTCTTTGCTTTCCCCCTGGGTGGGATCTGAATGACCTGATCAATTTCTAATCAGGAAAAAACCCGCAGCCTTTCTTCACAGTAATTTAGTCCCACACAAATCTTCAGGACAAACGGCTCTCCAAAATTGTTCGGAGCAGAGGGCAGGTAGGAGTGTTTTTTCTGGGGTTCATTTTGAAGATATATTTCTCACTCTATGTGGGGATAATAGCATTTAATCTCCAGTGTCAATCTGGTGTTACCTAAATATAGAAGTATTACTGAATCCCAAACACAGCCACACATCAGACAGATACCTTGGCCCTGTACAAAGGCAGCGGCTGCTTTTTCATGTTGAAAATGAAACCCCGGGAGATCTGCTGGCTTTGTCAGGCGCGAAAAGCCAAGGTCTCTAGAAATGTTCTTCTACTCTATTATATTGCGGGATTGTTGTTGCCGGGATGTTTCTGAATAACTCCATAGGCTCTATAGTGGCTCAAACAGAGTTTATATAAGTGGATTCTACTTCCAGTCAGGGTGTTCAGGCTGCAGACACCCATTTTTAAAAAGGAATTCGTAACAGGTTATATGAAACACTGCTGTAGGTGTATGTTTTAAATATATGGTGATCATTGAAGGAAAACATTTCAGGACATCACTCACTATTCACTCATTTTCCATCACAGTTGCCACTGCTTTTTGTAGAGTAAATGAATGGTTTCTTAGTCTGACCCTTATTCATAGATATTCATTTATTTTGAACTATGTTTTATTTAATTCAGCCTTGCATGGAGTTCGTCCTATTAGTTATTTTTATGTCTGGTAAAAAAAAACAAAAAAAACTTTCCATTTATCTTAAATGCTACATATTAGCTCTGTAGTCAGTGAAATTATGGAGATTTTTTACCTACAGCTGTAGCTATCTTCTCTGAACGTATCTTTTTGTGTTAAGTTCAAACTACCCAGTTGGCTTGTTCGCTAGTTTGCAGACTCTCGGCCATAACGCTTAAAACATCTGACAGAAATTATGCTAAGACTGAGCTGTCTTCGGACAAGCTTGCGGCCTTGTTAAAGCTTTCCTCTTAAATAGGCTATGATATCAAACCTGATTAATCAGCAAATTAGCATGACAACACAACAATGCCAACAGCAAATCAGTGGCAACATTAAGTGGTTGTTCCACTGAGCAGTGGGCTACGCTAGTCAACAGCTCCTGCTGAAGAAAAGCCCCCACACAGCATGATGCTGCCACCACCTTGTTTGAAAGTAGAGTGTGTGGATCAGAGTGATGGGCAGTGCCAGTTTTCCATCACAAATACCATTTTGCATTTAGGCCAAAAAAAGTTCCATTTTGGTCTGGTCTGACCAGAACACATGGTTTCAGGCAAACTGAAACTGGGACTTCTTTTTTGTTGTCTTTTCACGGTTGCTTTCTTCTCGCAACTTTCCATACAGGTCATGTTTGGGGAGTTCACGGCCAATAGGGACAGAATCCCTTCTCTTGAGCTATTGATGTCTGCGGCTCACCCTGAGTCTCCGCGTCCTCTTGACTACTTCTCTGATCAGTGCTCTTTTTGTTCAGCCTTTATATTTTGGTGGACGGCTGTGTCTTGGTTGGTTGTTCAATACTGTTTTCATTTCCAAATGATGGATTGGAGGGTGCTCCGTGAGATATTCCATGTCTCGGAAATCTTTTTCTCTGCGAACCTTGGTTAAACTTAATTTGAACATCTCCACAAGTTTATCCCAGACCTGACAGGTGTGTTCCATGGGTCTGATGATGCTGTTTTCTCTTAAATAACCCTCTAAGGCCACCACAAAACAGCTGTGTTTAGCTTACCCATGGGTGGACTCTATTTAGTCTTTAGATCAACATTCGATCATTCAGCAATCATCTGGCAATATTTGAATGCAATTTGTTGCACTCACTGAAAGAGGCCTGGATAGCTTGACACATGTCACTTTTCTTGTCACTTGCTTCTCAGTCGTGTGCCACTTTGCTTTGGCCATACATACAATTCTTATTAAGCGTATTTGTGATTGTGACAAAATGCGGAGAACACTTATAGAAGCCACTGTAGGTTGTTTAGCAGCACAAACATTATTTCTGGTTGTCTTAAAAGGTCACATCTTGTGTGAGATTATAATAAGCACTCTTAGTTTTATCAGGAGAATCGAGAAGGAATTCTGATGGGGGCGGGTTTGCTCTCCCCTCAGAATAGTCAAAGAACAGGGAACTGTCCCGATCCATAACAACTCAAAAATTGTGTTTTTGTAACACTGCATGGCTTTTTCATTAGTTGTTTACAGATTTTTCCCAACCAAAGAATGTCCATTATTGCATGCACAGTTGCTGTACCACGTTTTCCTTGGCTGACCTCCTGTGTTTCAGAAGTGAGACAGTAAATATCACTGAAAAGCCTCGAACAGCACAAATGCTTAGCGTCTTTTAAATCTTTGCAAAAAAAAATGCCCAGCGGCAAAGCATCCAGTAGGGCATAGTAACACTTGGTTTTGGTTGAGAAACCTCTTACAAACCAAAACAAAACAAACCAGTTTCTTCTACTCAGGTGAATCCATCTAAGAAAAAAAAGAAAACAGAAAAATCCATTTTAAAGCCTTGCCTCTATCCGCTCAGGAATTTGTTGGTGTGCATTGTTTGTGCTGTCCTAGGTCACTCTAAGTAAGTGACTTCTAGTTGGAATGTCTCCCAAACTTAAAGTTTAATCAAAGCTTATTGATTATTTTAAAACTCTAACAACAAAAAGGCAAAATGATAATAGAAAAAAGAGGGAAAACAAATGGATGAATTTTAAAAGAATCATATCTACTATTAGAAAAAGATATATTGTGCACATCATGAATGAGAATTTGTCCCTGAGACTAATTTTGAAATAGAGGATGATCTCTTTATCTCGGTCGTATAGATCTACTTCCTCATAATTATGTTTTGTTGGCAGTGAGGTGAAAGGACAATGGCTGTGCGGCTCCAAGCGGGCTGCCGTTTGCTTTCATTTGTTATGCTTGATGTTTTTCAGAGACTGTCATGCATCCTGTGTAATCTGGCCAAACCTAAAAAATACAAAAGGAGGAATGATAGGAGGAATTACTCGTAAATTTGAACTACATTCTCAATCTTCGATAACGAAACTCAAATTCAAACATTTGAACATTTGCTTTGAAAATCTCCTATTTGTGCCAAGTATAAAGCAACGTAAGCTTTGCAGGATCCGGCTGTCACAACACTGTCTTTTCATTTGCTTTTTAGATGGGTCGTTGATAAGAGGACGACACATCAGCCAGTGACCTCACAGAGTCCACATGGGAGCAGTCAGTTAAGGTGACCGTTCAGAAGTTGTCCAGCAGAGAGAGAGCCACACTGCAGATGTAGATAACCCTGCAAAGATCCGACGCAGATGGCCTTTAACGGAGGACATTTATGATCCAAATCCGCTGCTGTCTGAGAAGTGGGGACTCCGGGGTAAGTGTCCTGCAGCATGCGGTCAGCCGGGCTGCTCTCACATCACACCTTTGGGACTCCGGATTCATCTTTTTTCCCGGCTGCGCTCCCAAAGTTTCCGACCAACTGATTTTTGACTGCGGCAAAAATGTCCCTGCTCAAACGGAGGAAATTCAGGACTTTCGCCCTCCTGTTTTGTGTCATTAGTTTCACAATGTTCCTGTTCAGCTACACTTTTCGGGACCCGTCGCTGTATTTTTTCAAGCACGCGTTTCGGCTTTCAGACGGCTTTTTCTCCAAAGGGCTCTGTGCCTGCCGCCAGTGCATAGCAGAGCTGGAGGATGACCCATGGTTCGCTGAGCGCTTCAATCAGTCCATTCACCCGCTGATGACCAGGGAGAACAGCGTCCTCTCTGACGAGACCTTTAAGTGGTGGCAGGTAAGACTCAAGGGATGTATTTATGGGATTTGCAGTGTTGCCTTACATAGGACTGGAAGGAAATGCAAAAGAAAAAAGAAAAAAGAAAGCAGGCTCAGCTTCTGAGAACAGATGAGGGGCTGAATTAGGAGAGGCCATGACTACAGAGAGATCACACACAGCTGGGATGTTTCAGAGAATTGGTTTGTTTCTGATGTATTGATCGTTTTAAATCCAGAGGATCTTTGGCAGGCTCATGCAGTAAAAAAAACAAAACAACAACTCCCACACACAATTTGTTCGCATTTTACAATGCAGGGAATGAGGAATTTATTTTTTCCCAATACTCCAATGAAGTGTGACTTTCTGAATGGTTTGCATGTTTCTTCCTGGCACTTCAGCATCCTACTGTCCAAATGCATGCGTGTTGGGTTAGTTAGTGAGTCCAAATTGTACGTGTGTATGCATGTTAAAATCTATGCGGCCTATTCTGTGTTAGCTTCATCACACATTATCACTCTCATGGGATTTGACAAGGAAGCGTATGACAAAGCCAAAGCATGCAGGTGTAATAGTCTTTGTTGAAGTAACGTCAGTAATTATCTGCCCTCGAGGACTGACAGTGGTGTCTGTGGGCTAAAGTAAGGGTGGAACCAACTCTGCCTCCGCCAGGAGCCGCCCTCAGGCAATCCCCATGTGACCGCCATGAGACGAAAGCAAGCCAAATATCTGAACCTGTTGCAGTGAGAAAAGAAGCCCTGGTATCTAAAAATAATTAAATAGATGTACCCATTATCACGACAAAATAATTACCTGTTACCTTGTGAATATTACAAAGTTAACTGGTAGCCATCTAAAGACGATGACTCAGTGATTCATCTGTCACATCCACTTCACCCAGCTCAGGATGAGTGGGGGGGGGGGGATGGAGTTTTCCCGTGAGGGTTACCCCAGCTGAGAACCAGGATGGTTCAAACGGTGTATTTCACACTGGGCTGTGCAGGGCTTACGTACATTTAAACATCCCTCCACCTCTGTGGGCAGCAGCCCTCCCGCTCCCAAAGCCCTCCCAGGCCAGCCACAAGACAGTCCCTCCTTCGTATCGCATTATCTCATTCTTTTTTCTGCAAAAACAAATAATGTTACAATGTTGATTCTATTCTATCAGTTTAGATACATATGTATGTTTAAAGAGAGTGAGAGAGAGTAGCTTAGTTTTTTAAACACATGCAGTAAAAAAAATCCTAAAAACACCTGAGAACTTTTTATTAAAGAATATGATTTTGATCTTTGAGGATTTAGTTTTTTTTGTTTGTTGGTATCTGCTGTTATCCACTGGATAATAGCATTGAAGGACAAATAGCTGGTGTTTGCTTGTTAAGTAGAGATTTTCTTTTTATACAGGTTCCTTCTTAAAGATTTTACTGAATGCACACACATCCAGGGATCTAAAATGTATTTGATAGAGTAATAGTGTATGAAATCCTAATCTCATTTACGCAATAAAGAAATGACTCAGTTCTAAAAATATATATTTTTAAATCTTGTATGTAGTTCAGATTTTTACATTTTGGTACTTTTGCTTGTGTAGTTTGTTATCTGCTCTGCTTCTTGGACATTATCGGCTGCAGCTAAATTTGTTTGACTTTGTTCAGCATTAAATGATGTTAACAGCTTGTACATAACAATGAACCAAACATACACCAACTATACAGGACACATCCGTCTCAGTCCAGTATTGGGACGTCAGTATGCCTGACTGCTCACCTTTAAATGTGCAAAACGTTGCAAACAGAGACTTTTGTCCATCAACTGTGCTTTATTTGTGCATATTTCACCTTGTATGAAATAGTTGTGGGTGCTTTACCAAATACGGGCAAACAGCTCCCTGTGTCCAACACAATGGATTTGCCTTGCCTGATCATGGGAATAGAGATCTTTTCGGTTGTCATGTTTCCTTTTGTCTGAAACTGCTTCACAGTCCTCTTCTGGATGTGTTGCCTAACCATGTAATGTAAATGACTTATTGGAGTATTCAGTCGTGTTTGGAATGGAGGTCCCTGTTTAAGTACGTAAAGTGAACAGATATGAGCTCTTTCATTGTGACCTGCAAGACTCCTGATCGTTTCACCTTTGGAACATCAGGATAGAACAGTCATCCTTGATATGATATGCTGGGTTTCCATTGTGTTGTTAAGATTGAACAATATATCTAAAGAGTGACGTAAATGGCTGTTTTTTTTAGGTGTTCCCAATGTACAGTGGTTAGAACCGACAAGAAGTGGTGACCCAGAAGGACACCCGGTGCCGTGGGGGGACGGATACAGATACAAGCGTCAGATACTATATATTTCCCAGATGCACACTGATGCGTGTGGGGGCAGAATGAGCAAAGGCTTGCCCGTGTAGTCACATCCCATAGAGGGGCTTCTGCTACACAGATAGGTAAAAACCTCCATACATTCTAGATTGCAGACGGATGAGTGGGCTCACACCGAACCCTGTCTGCTTATCAGCAAAACCATGATGGAACAATGGCTGAGGGCGGTCTGGCCCAATGAGTCACCCTTTCTTTTACATAATATGGACAGGTGCATACGTGTCACTTTCCTGAGGAGGAAGACGTGTCCGGTGGATGCAATTAGGGGACAGAAGGCACGCTGACAGAGACCATATCGTGCTCTGGGCAATATTCTGTAATGTGCTGTATATTTTTGCATCTTTATAGCCCCCTCTTTTGTGTGACATTTGATAGGGTATAGTGTTGTATTAGTGCATGTTGCTTGTCATCATAACACTATGTGAGGGTGACTACAGACAGGATTGCTGTATACTCCCAGCTTGAGGTTTGTGTTAAATTGTATCTTCAAAGGGTAGCATAAGAAATAAAATTGCATTCCAGAGCATGAAAGTGAAATTTTGTCATAATCACACAGTTCACCAACCATGAGTGGAGAAGGACAAAGTTCATACCATGTTCTTTACTCACCTAATGATGTTAACCACCGTTTTTTTTTTTTTACTTTAACGCCTTATTGCCTTCTTTTTCATCCCCATCTTTCTGCTTAGTTTGAGAAGACGCTTGCATACTAAGTTGCTTTAGGCAGAATTTTCCACAGCAGTTTTCCTTAAAAGTCAATCAAGATGAACATGCAGAAGCGAGTGAAGTAAAAAATCTCTAAAAGCAAGGACCCTCAGGAATATACAATTTAAACAAACTAGAGGGAACTTTTCTCATTCATGAGCACTCCAGCCACATCTTTTTTTTTTGTTCTTGTGAACAAACTGTTCCCTCGATGCATAGAAATTCCTGTTTCTTGTAGTGTTTTTAAAAAGATAAACTGTCAAAGGTCAAGTTTCAATGTATCAATGTAAATATATTTTATTACTGAGTAAATAGTATGCAATTATCAATATAATAACCCGGCCTAGAAATAAAACCAGGTTATTGTTAGTAACAAGGTAATAAGTAATTCTGAGTAAACAAATCACTTATGTAAATTAGTGCTAAAATAATTATTGATGTTAATATTAATTTAGGGTTAGGCTTACATCAGTGCAACATTTTGAGAAGAAAACAGGTACAAAATCAGTCATTTGAGCGTATTTTTAATGTGTACTCTAACAATCTTAAACTGTATCTGTTCAAAGTGTTTGATTCAAGTTAGAATACTTAAAATTACCACAGGTAATTACCCAATTATTGTCCTGAAAATTCATTCCCTGTGGCCAAAAGTTATTTTCATCCAAGGCATTAAACACTTGTTGCTACAATCTACAAGCATATGGAGTTTGTTTTAAATGTCACAGAGAAGAGAATTAGAAAGCAACGCCATGTCATTGTTCAATAAGGGCTTTTCCCTCTGCATGCTCTGCCCATGGATTCTCTCTGGGAATTCTGGCTTCTTCCCACGTTCACAAACCACTCGTTCGTTATTTTAGTAGCTGTGTGTTATTTGGTGGGGTGGTGGCTGTTCACAAATATGCTTCCCTGAGACGCCGTGGCAACCTGTACAGGGTAACCGCAGGGATAGGTCCCAGTGACCATGAAAAAGCAGACATAGAAAAATATATTGCTGAATGACTGCTCCTAACCAACTTTGATCGAACACTGTCAAACCAGGGTAAAGTGTACTTTTTGTGTGCAGCTAAAAATGTTGATTTGTGGTACACACTTACTCTGCCTTATCTAAAATGCTTGTGTTTGAAGCTTCCCTGTATCTACTACCAGAATATCTGTCTAGAAACCATAGTTTTCAGATGGCAGGAGGGTCTTCACAATGATGTCGAGAGCCTAGGTCACTATAATGCTGATGAAATAGTTCACATTGTCAGTGTATTGGTTTAGTGTTGTGTCTGTTTTTGCAAATGAGTGCACCACTTCTTTAAGCATTGATGCCACGTGGCCCAAAGAAACGCTCCTCAAGGTTCTTCTAGAAACATGCTTTGCTGCCCTTTCTGAGGTTGTTATGCTTGAAAATGGAGCTGTGGCTCTCTCTGAGGCCTCTTCTTGCTCTGTGACCCAGTGGTTGCAGTCGGAGAGGAACCCGGCCAGCTTCAGTGAAGTGGTGGAGCAGCTGTTCCAGGTCATCCCTGATGAGGCGCTGTACATGGACGCCGGCCCTGTGCGCTGCAGGAGGTGCTCTGTGGTGGGGAACTCTGGGAACCTGAAGGGGTCCCACTACGGGCGCCTCATTGACTCCAGTGATTTCATCATAAGGTCAGTGAACACTTGAGTTCTTCAAAGTGTGTTGGCACACACATTTTGATGTGATATGTTTTTCCCAACATTTGTCAATTTCAAGTCCTAAATTTGGTTTTAATTTCATATCAATGAATTTGCCATTCAGACACATTCAAACGGAACATATTTTAAAAGTATGGCAAAAACTTGGAGACCTTCAGGTTTTAGACATGATTGTGGATTGTTGCTAAGAACATCAGAACGGCCTCATTTTGATTTCCAAGTGGAAAACACAACGCTGGGAAAATGCACTAAAACGTCCTTTTCTATTCAGATGAAGAATAAGGAAGGAGGTTTTTTTCATGATTTTCATGATCCCAGATTAATTGAGTTAATCTTCCCCGTGGGTCAGGGTAATGCGGATCCTAGCTGGTCAGTGACCAAAGTCATTCTTTCATTAGAGAAGAAACACACACAAGAACTGCTGATATCAATGGTAAACAATGTTTACAAATAATAGTATACATTTATACATATTTATTCATATTATATTTTTATAGGAAATTTCTCCACTATTATCTGTTGAATTAAGCACAAATGTAACTTTGTCGTAAACAAAAGACTCGTATCATTAAGCTTTTTTATACTTTATACTTGTTCATACTGGACTAGAAAACCTTTGGGTTCTCCCCAGCGCAGGTTTGAACTAGTTTATACTTGAATAAGGTACATTTTAGATATTTCCTTTAATAATTTATGGTTTGTGTTTAGGGAATTAAAATAAATACTAAATTTTCTTCTTTTTTTTTTTGTATCTCGTCGTATTTCAACAGAAACATGGAATCTGGCATGTTGTGCTGATAATGTGCAGGACTGCTCAGCAGCACATGTGCCAGAGCTGATTGTACATTTTGGAATATTTTTCACATTTCAACCTAAGCTATAGGAATTTCAAATTCTGATTGCAAGCTGGAACATGGATAGAAACTAATCTATATCAGTTTAACTCAAGAATCAGGGGGTTATCATCAGATATGTAATGAAAAGTTCATGTGGATTGAATATCATTTGAATGAGTTGTTTATAATAATGCTCGTCTTTTTTTCACTAAAGACGAATAAGCCTCTGACTGAAGTCCCTTTTGTAGTTGACCACTGTGTCACGTAGAACACTAGCAGTATCGGCCATTACGTTCAGCAGCTGTCTCACCATTTCTCAACGTTTGATGGTTATCAGGATGCTTCAAGCCGCCACCGACACACAGTCAGTCTTCCTTTCTCAGTCTTCCTCATTCAATATCATCATCATTTCATTTTCTTTAAGAAACTGGATGTTATGTTGCTGCAGGATTGCACTCTCCACCACAGACTTTGTGATGATATGCAAACACTGCAGGTTCTGAGCGTCTGCAGTCAGTAGAGTCCCTCTCTTTCTGTTAAACTGCCTCTGGGATGCTTTTCCAGTTCAATCTGTCTGTGGTGTCCAGGTGTTTGTAGTCCTCCACCACCTACACCTCCTTTAAAGAACAAAAATAGTCTTTCTTTTCTGTGTCAGCTTCTGCTCTGCAGACCAGAGGATTTCTATGGTTTCTATTTTTTAACTCACTGTAACTTTGAGCCACAGAACCCCACATTTTCCCCTAAAATGCCAACATCTCAATTAACGGTAACAGGTACAGTTTCTTAAAGGTTAACTGTGTAGGAATCCCTTCATCTAACGGTGAAATTGTATTCTGCATTCTAACAAATCGTGCTCTCTAGTGCCTCGCGTTTTCAAATATGCTTAAATATTCATACACGCATATGGCTTACCTGTCCAGGAGAAAGAGGGCAACTTCAGCATCCCTTTGAAAGTCTTTCTCCTTCATTAGCTTTTTCCACCTGGGAAAAGCCACCCCAATGTTTACCCTCGTTTTTTTTAATTCGCCGGTCACGTTAATTTTTTTTTGCTTTTTTGGCGATGATGATTGCTTCTCCTGTGGTTCGGCATTAGTATGATCTTCCATTCTGGCTTAAAGTGCCTAGCATAGAGGTTACAAGCCAGCGCATTTCACTTATTATTGCTGGTTTCAGTCTGGTGACTCTGGCTCTGAAGGAAAACGCCTTGTGGATTAGCTAGACAGGCAGACTAGGGCTTTATGTTCCTCTCCGTGATAATAATTTTCAAAATGGGGGAACCTCCATGGACTTACCCTTCCTATGTGTATACAGATAGGAAAATCTTGGCTTATGAGAAGTCAGATCATTGCAGAGGTCATTTTACACCAAATGAGGACACATTTATAAATGTAGAAAATGATCTTAGCTAATGAAATACTTAAAATACAACACAATGTCCCTTTAACAGAACTGAATTAGGCTGTTCTCAGCTTTTTAACTGTTATCTGAAAGGGCCATCTGAAATTAGGATTGCACAAAGCTCAGTCCATATTTAGTTCCGGCTTCTCCGTAATTGTAAACCATTTTGGCTCCCAGCACTTTTTTCTCTTTTATTTGATTTATTTTTCATGCATCTTTCCTCTTGGCCAAGCTGCACAACTGGGGAATGACATTTCCAAATCCTCGCTCTGCGCTCCTATAAATATAAAAATGAAATAAAAAAAACACCTTACCAATACCAAAGTATTGAAAAATTAAAACAAAAGCATATGAATATTTATATTTCTATGACATGCCTTTGGGCAACAGAAAACAAGATGGGAGTGTGTTGCTCTCTGTAATCTGTCACAGCAAACTGCAGCATAGCAGAGAACCAATTGGCAAGGAAAAACACAACAAAGGGATTTCCTCAAAAGGATTGTAGGGGTTTTATCTGCTGCAAACCGCTGATTTTTCATGACAGAATGAAGCTAATTTGGATGCCAGGGGGGGCAACAAACATTCTCACTCAGAACGCGGATGATCCACACTGGACATGTCACAGATTTGACCTTTGGCTGAACCGTCAGGATGGTTAAGACGTGGAGAAAAAACAGCTTTGCTTGTTAATTAGGTCTGACAACTTCTTAGACGATTTGTCTTTTGCCCGTTTATGTTGTTCCACCACCATTACAGATAAGGTTTCAGTCGCTGCCCTCAAACATTTCTGCACTGACGTGACCAAATTCATAAAATGTGAATAGCTTAAGACACTTTCATTTTTAATCCAAATTCAATTAAATTCAAAAACACGTTATTCATCCCAGAGGGAAAATCTGGCTAAATATGTTGACTAATATTAGATAAATATGGTTTTTGACAATCATTTACAAACGAAAAGTTTCAAAGACATTACAGGATGTTTGTTCAGAAAAGCTCTTGCAATAATAAAAAAACTGCTTAGTTTTTCATTTAAGATTGAAATAAAAATGTATATTGAATTGGATTTAGTCCAAACCAAAGTCTTTTTAAAGTAGACTTGCATCTGCCTATCACAGGCAAAACCAGAAAAACAACCCCTGAGGCTTCTGAATAACTTTTTATAAAGAAAGCCCTTTTGAAACATTGATTTATCAACTTGGCTGTAAAGTCATGTCTACGTTTTTTTTCCCTTGACCACACGGTATACCAACACAAAAAAGTGTGGAGTTAAAGAGAGGTAGGATGGACCCGCCAGTCACCAGTTGAAGTGTTTGGGCACACGATAACGTATGGAAAACCATTTCAGCTGAATGTTACACCAGCTTAGTCTGCTAAAGCCCTTCTGAGGTGGCCACCAGTTTCAAGAAAAGTGCAAAATCTGGATCAAATAGTAACTCTAAATCAATACCTTTTTTTTAGATGCCTGTTGCACTCACAAGTACAGCATCTAACTTCTTTAAATAGATTAAACTTTTAAAAGCTTCGGATCCCAGGCCTTCATAAGGGAGCATGCTTTTGTTTATAATCCTAAAGAGTCGTGATATTAGTCTACAGTTACCTCTTTAGAGGACTCAAATGGAAATCTGGCAAGGTGCAAATCCAAGCAAAAAAATACATTTTTCTGCAGATTTGTGTTTAGTAATGTAAAAAGCCATTCATTCCTGCAGAACCTTGTAGCCCTTGTTAGCCTTACACCAGGCTAACAAGGAGTCCGCCCCACTGTCAAAGTGATCACAGGGAGTTTTGAATATCACGCCAACATTTGTCGCGGCCTTGTTGGAAATTTAGACGGACATAGAGAGTACACTTTGGTTTTACACTATTTTTAATGTGTTCACAAAAATGAGAACACACAGACAGACCAACTACTTTGGTTGAAGTAATGTTATTCTGCAATGCCAAATGATTTGTTTTCAGATGAGTCATTTATCAAAAATTTATCAAAATCGAGTTTTGATCATTCTTTTTGTGAGTTTGAAACTATGAGGATTATCAACAAACAAAAGCGAAAATAGCACATTTCAAGAAAATGTTAATAGGCAAAGCCCCAGAATTAGGAGTCTCTTTCACTTATATCTCCAAAATCTTCTAAGATGTGCTGTTCTTAAGAAGTATCTAAAGAAGACTAAGTCAGATTTCTGAACGTGTTTGTCTGAGTGTTTGTTCATAGATCGATGATCTACAGGTCACATGCCTGATAATCCTCCAATAAATGTCTCAGATGGAAGGAAAATTTGCACAGAAAGGAACAGATGCGAGATATGAACGGGAAAGATCGAACTGTGGGACTAAAGGGGGGGGGGGGGACTTCAGGAAATCACTCGTATTACTGCAATTTCTTTAATGTAATTTTATTAACAGTACTACAGAGGACAAGACAAAACATGTTAGCACTCAAGTGTGTATTAAGAATACTCCAGTCTGTATGCATTTTGTTCTTAAATTGAGACCTAATCCAGGCTCAGAACACATCCCTGATTGCCACAAACTTTTCATAAAAAGTTTATAAGCTGAAAGTAGAACACATTTGTTCCTAAGAATGGTCAGTGAATTTGGGCCTTTAATGTTTTCTTTGATGCCGATTAAATTATTAACCTTTACCCAAAACCCTCCAATTAACAGCACATGGCATCACAGGATGAAGGAACTTGCATGCCTGGGGCAATTCTTTACCCCTTTAGCTCATGGAACCTTTTAACACAATAGAGGGACA